CATTGGCATCATAATACACTGACAGGTTATTTGAATGGAAGAACTAGAAACCCTATAATATGGTCCGCCTATTCTTATAGTTATCAACTGGAATGGATAATACCACTGACCACATGGCCTTTGTAGCTTCATCGATGGAGGCGTGGAAGTCTAGCAGAGGAAACGTGTAAATCAGTTCACTATGGAAAATGCTTCCTTTAACTGGTAAATAAGTTCATGGAATCAGACAAGTATGAAAGTGTTAATAAAAAATTGGTCAAGAAAGGCAAAGCTCTTTTATGGAATTAATAATTCATCAAGAAGAGATACCTTGCTTCCCCCGTGGAGATTTAATAAAATTATTAATAATAACAATGTTTTTGTAAATCATAAAATATTTTATACAACGAAATACATGGGATTTGTAATCCCAAAAGCCTTAGCTCATGGCTATGTTTTTTTCTCTAGTTGCATAGTTTTACCATGCTCTAATTTTTAGAATAGTGTTTTGCACCTTCTATAAAAGTTAAGTGTGGATCTTGGTGAGAAGCACACATTGAATATAACATTAAGCACTGAGTCAATCACCTCTGATTTTTAAAACTGATTTAATACTGTCTTGTGGGTTGAGACAATGAATTAAATTCACTCTTTTAACATGGTCTGGAACAACCTATGTTATTACGCTGCCTGTTTCTTGGATATCACCTCATTCTGTTCTTCCATTTAGTCTATAAATATTTATTAATATCACTTTATCCTAGTTACTATTCTGGGTGCTGGGCATCCCAGAGTGAAAAGACAGGCACCATGCTGTACCTGCTTTCATTGAGTGAACCTTCTGGTATTTGACTTGCAAACCAGATTTGCAAGTCAATGCATGTCTACTTTTCCATGCATTTATTCCTATAAAACATTATTGAAGGGCAACAAAAGAAGCACTTTCTTTATTCCCAACTGATTGTCTGTTTTTATCTGCAGCCCTTTGGATAAAGGAGTTAGGGATTATGATCACAGCACTGCTGTTAGAAAGAAACAAGCAAGTGTTTTTAGACTGTATGTCACTACATTCAAGGTTCAAGGGAATGTGTAACTAATGTGACATTTTGTGTTGTGCCCAGCACTTGGCCAGGGAATATTGAAGCATCTTGGTTGGCCATGCTACCAAAATGATTTCAAGGGAGGGGAGGATATTTTCCCACAAGAAGATCAGAGTGCTAGTTCAGGTGTGGCTGCTGCCATGACAGTTAAAATAGGCATACTTTTAACTTGTTCTTCTGTGAAGAAGGTAGGACGGACATTATGGTGTCATTTTACAAGTGGAGAATCTGAAAACGTCAAAGTTCAGTTGTGCAAGGCTAAAGCGGTTGTAAATGACATGGCTAAGGCTGAAAGATGCTTTAACTTCTGATAGTGTCACTATCAGAAATTTTTAAACTGAGGCTCAGAAAGGAGCTTAAATGAATTTGCAAATCTCTTGAAACAATAGGCAAAATGTTGTTTGTAGGTTTGGATAGGAGAAAGTGGTCTGGGTATTTAATTGGATTCCTTTTTTCAATATTATTTTTATTGACATAGAGTTGATTTATAATGTTATGTTAATTTCTGCTTCACAGCGAAGTGGGCTGTGTGTATATATATATATATATAGATACATACATACATACATATATATATATGTACATTCTTTTTTAAAATATTCTTCTCCTTTATGGTTTATCAGAGGATATTGAATAGTCTGTGGAATATAGTTTTCTGTGCTACTTAGATTCTTAAAAGGTTTATGACCAAAGAAAATAGAGTAAAAATTATAAAATTAAGAACTACTGCTTGCATATTGCATCTATTGAAAGGAAGTAAGGAAACATGAATCCTCTACCACTATACAGCTCACATCTTCCTCTTTCATGTTTGAGGGGCTATGAGAATTTAAAACAAATCTGTGAACTTGGTAATGCATTCCATCACTTACCACTCATTTGGGATTAGTGACACACATTCTGGAAAGCACCCACAGGAGGCTCTTTGTAAGAGACGGACTGCTTTGCTTGAGAGGTAATGACAAGCATCCACTTACTTCTACGATTCTTTAAATTATCTCCACACGAACTTGGTCTCATATTTAGCCTCTACTCTTTCTAGTACTCGCTCAAGTAGGAGAAGAAGTTTGCTGATTTGTTTACAACTTCGTAGTGAAGGAACTTGGACCAGCTTGTTTCTTAGCGTCTGTAGGTGTCTCCAGGGAGAGCTAAGTGCTGGAGGAGATTAACCTTGAAGTGTGTACTTAAGTAATTAGATGGGAAGAGGGACTGGGGACTTATCCCTCAATAAACTTGCACTACTTTTAGGAAATCCAGTAAGTTAAGGATTCCCCAAGAAACCAAAATGAAGCATGTCTTCTCAGCTCTGAAAGTAAAACTATAAGTATAACAGATGTGAAAGTGCTTTGGAAAAGTAGTTAAAACACTAGAAAAAAAGTGATGGCTTATAATAGAAGCAATCCCCCTCCCTCTCCCTCAAATGCTACATTAGAATTTTGCATGCAGAAAACTGGCAGTAACAAAATACGTTATTGAAAAACAGCACCTAAGTAGGAAATGATTTAAGAGTGGTAAGTATTACAATTAAGAATTAGCTTACTTTGGTAGTGTTGCCTACATTTATTTTTTCAGTGATTTTTATTTTCGGTACTTAAGGATGATATTTTCCCCTTTAGAGCACAGAAATGAATATAGGTTAATTCTACTTGCATCTGGCTGATGTTCCAAGACTACTCCTGTGGGTTTGGGAATCAAGCAGAGATCAATTCACACAAAGCCTTTCTTTGCTGACTCTATATTCATCTCTGACTAGTTACCCTTAGATAATAGTTAAAACTCAATTCTTGAGGGGAAAACAAAGCTACTGTTTCAGTTTCAGAATTCATTGTTCAGCATTTTCAGCATCTATGGGATGATTCCCAAAGACAGGACTCCTCCAGGTGCTCCCTTGTCTTTTCCCAAGTAAGGAATCTACATAAAGAGCCAAAATTAACACAGAGATTGGAATTCACTTCTCTTCTGGCATGCTTTAAACTACATATAGATATAACCAACTACTGCTTTTCTATGGCTTTTCCCTAGAGTCACTTTTACTGTGCAGATAAGTGAATCTTTTTTTATTTATCAGGCAAGAGTTTCCCCTCTCCCCCTTAGGATATAGCAAGGGATTAAAATTAGTGAGTAAATAGGGGGCGAGGGAGGAGGGAGTAAGGCTTTGCTTACTACATTTTAAGGATGTTTGTTGTATCCCCAGCATCTTTATTAAAGATCTATCAAAAATAAGTCCTGCTACAAGGGGTGATTCAGTGATCTAGCATAGCAAGTGAAATAGCCTATAGCAGAGTTTGCCAAAGCGTGGTTCCCAGATCATAGCAGGAGCATCGCCTGGAAACTTATTAGAAATGCACATTCTTCAGTCACACCTGAGGATGGGATCCAGTAATTCCCTTTTTAACAAATCTCCCATCACTTCATGGCAAACAGATGGTGAAAAAATGAAAAAGTGATAGTTTATTTTCTTGGGCTCAAAATCACTGTGGACAGTGACCGCAGCCATGAAATTAAAAGACACTTGTTCCTTGGAAGAAAAGCTATGACAAACCTAGACAGATTTTAGATGGTATTAAGAAGCAGAGACATCACTTTGCTGACAAAGGTCCATATAGTCAAAGCTATGGTTTTTCCAGTAGTCATGTACGGATGTGAGTGTTGGGCCATAGAGAAGGCTGAGTGCCCAAGAATGGATGGTTTTGAACTGTGGTATTGGAGAAGACTCTTGAGAGTCCCTTGGACTGCAAGGAAATCAAATCAGTCAGTCCTAAAAGAAATCAACCCTGAATATTCATTGGAAGGACTGATGCCGAAGCTGAAGCTCTATTTAATGCTTTGGCTACCTGATGAGGGGATTCAGCTCTTTGGAAAAGACTCTGATGCTGGGAAAGATTGAAGGCAAAAGGAGACAGGGCAACAGAGGATAAGATGTTTGGATGGCATCACTGATTCAATGGAAATGAGTTTGAGCAAGCTTCAGGAGACAGTGAAGGACAGGGAAGGCTGGCCTGCTGTAGTTCATGAGCTTGCAAAGAGTTGACTTTGCAAAGGTTGACTGAGCGAGTGAACAACAAAACAAGTGGGTGGTTCTGACACCCACTAACGTCTGAGATCATCTACTCAAGTGAACAGCCATTTTCCTCTTTTCTTAAGATACCTCTATAAATACTTTTTAAAAATAAGATTAGTTTACTCTCATGAATCTTTTCATTTTAGTATCACAAATTTTAGTTAAATCCATATCCAACTTTTATCTTACTGTAATTGCTTTCACATAGATCTCTTCTAGGTTGTCTTATCTGATTATATTTCCTTTTTAAAAAAATTCTTAGAGCTAATTATTGTCATTTCCTGCATTCCATCAAATATTCTTCCCAAATCAACTAAGAGAAGCATAAAACTACCCTAAATGCTATTTTGTGTTTGGTCATATACTTCAACATCTGTTCTTACCTTCACCCAGTGAGGGACTTCCAGGAGACCTCTGTGTTCCTAGTGGGATTATTTCTCCTAAGTGGTAAGCAGAGTTCTCCCTCCAGTTTTCCCTTGTCTCTCCTGTGGGTCTCATTTCTGTTTCAATCACTCTTTTTCTCTTATTAACTCCTCTCCCCCTTTTTTCTTCTCCCTGATAAAAAATGAATGAAAGCAAAACATTTTGAGCCTTTCTTATAGGAAAATGTTTTTAGCCCGTTCTTACACTCAGAAGTTGGCAGTTTGGGGGCTGACCATTTCTAAGACAAACCACTGAAAAATGACATGGACGCCTTGTGATTATGGTGGAAGTTGTCCACTGGTGAACTTTGCTAGAAGATCTGATCCAGGAGGACCTCAGCTGTGTGATTAGAGAACCCTCCCAAGTTACAGTATTTTGTCTTTCTCTATGGGCTGCTCAGTTTCCCCTAATAAGATTTTTTCAATTTCTTATCTTAGGGGAGAAGTGAAAGGTGGTGATTTTATGCCTGACTCCAAATCAAAGTTATTGGAGCCAAGCAGTAGCCAGGAGGAAGAATTTTGCCTTTCAAGGCATAGCACTTTGCTTCTCAGATCAGCACCCATCCCTCCTGTATTTGCAAAGTCCCCCAGATTGTGGAGCTGCTCTGACTCAAGTTTATCTTCAGAAGAAACTTTCGGGATCCAGCAATCGCCTGACTGTGGAGAATCTAAAACTCCATATATTGACTTTTAAATAATGCCTCGGTCTTTAGCCACACAGTGCACACATATTAGAGATAAGTGGTACTTTCCCTTGTTGAGATTTCCTGGACTCATGCATCTTGAATAAGGTTGGTTCTCTTTGGAAGCCTCCTTGCAGACACTTGGTATTTAGCTTCCCTCTCTTTGTAAACATTAACTCACAGCTGATGCAAAGCATGAAAAGCATAGAGGCATGAGGTATTCAGAAAGGAATATTGATAGGTCACAATGACTCAGTGAAGGGATGGAGAAATCAGAGAGGAACACCAGCTGCGTAACTGAGTTGACAGTATTAGAATTCACTGAGCTAGGTAAGTGCTTATTTGCTCAGTCCTGTCCTACTCTTTGCGACCCCAAGGCCTGTAGCTCACCAGGCTCTTCTGTCCATGGGGTTGCCATTTCCTTACCGAAGAGACCTTCCCAACCTGGAGATCAAAGCTGTATCTCCTGCTTTGCAGGCAGTCTCCTAAACTACAGGCAGATTCTTTACCACTGAGCCAGCTGGGAAGCCCCTATGTAATAAGGGAGTGGTTTTGCTGGGTTTAGAATGTTGATACACTCAGTGCTTCATGTGCTGATTTTATGGTGCCAGTAGGTCTTGCAAATTAAAATGTCTAACAATGAGCAACTGTATGTCTAACATAGAGCGTTGTTTGACCAGAAAGTGATGTGTATCTAAGATAAACACTTGAGACACCTTAATAAAAGGATGCTATGCTGTATATATATGGAAGTAATTAAAATGAATTATGGTACAAAGTATAAAAAGTGGACAATGGAACCAAAGGGAACGTTAACATTTAAAGGGACAGTTGAAATAATCCTATAAAAATGTTAGTTCAGATTTTCAAAGAAGCAGACTAAATTAGATAGATATATAAGAAATTCACTGGGGGAAATACCTGTAAAGAATAAACATGGGAGAGTAAAGGAGTAGGAGGGGAAAAGTGTCACACCAAGATGTGGATCTGATACCTGTGAAAGGAGAAAAAGGGAGAACTAAGTAGGAAGATGTCATGCGCAATTGATTCCTCCAGAAATTTTGGCTGAAACAATGAGAAGTTCCCCAGCATAGGCTGGCCTTTGGATGAGTCCTGGGCAGGCAGGAAAGGGTGGACACTGCTACCCTTAGTCCCACGCTCATCATTAACTGGGAACAGCAAAAGGGGGGTGTGAACCTGCTACAAATTCAGTGATGAATCCCAAGTTGAGGCAGCTAGGGCTTCATCTATCCTTTCTGAAGCATGGTTTCCTGAAGAAAATTCGAAAGACATATCTAAGAAAAAAGAGAAACTATTAATATAAAGAAAGGCAGTACCAAAGCCACGAGAGGAAGTCATGTGTATTTATACTTCTAACTCTGTTATAAAAAGAAGTGATGGATAAATTATCTTAAAACTGCAAATTTGAGCCTGAGACTTTCCCCTGTGAGACCTGTAGTTAATAGTAACATGCAAAAATGTGCATAATTGGAGGCAACATTAATAGTGGGGAAAACCTAGTTCTGGAGAAGATGATGGATTGATTTTAAAGTTTAAAGCCATTTATAATTTTCAAATATGCACTTTGAGTTGATTTGAAATATTTCATATTTTAGTTTCCTAATGGAGTTAATTAATCACAGCTGATTTCATTGCAAGCACAGCACCAACCAGAAGCAACATAGTCATAGAACAAATTAAAATCAAGGCATATCAGTACTATGTATTTAGTGATGTGGAGGGGATTTCTTTCCTAAACTTTGATTCTTACCTTATTAATGCATTGTATTTCAACATAGTTAGCAACTCAATTATGGCTACAGCCTTCATATAATTGCAACTAGTCAATTTCTGTATTATTATTCTTTGATAATTTTAAAGTTATCGAATGTTTCTATTATCCTTATGGATGCATTCCTGAAAAAAAAAATGAGTCCACATCTCAAAAAAAAACTCCCTGTATGCACGTAACTGTCAACCAGTGGTTCAGCAGCAGAGATCCATTTTCAGAGGTATATTGCGATGTGTCTGCTATATACATACAATGACACAGATAAGGAGCTTAAATAGAGAAAAGAAACGGTGAGGAAAATTCGTATTCATTGCAGATCACCTCTGTACCTGTAAGCTGAGTGCTGACTTCTCTAATGACCCATCCCTGCCAAGACTTTAAAGTGTCTGCTCTGCATAAGATGGGAGACAGATAAGGGGGTGTAGGCAGAGTCCAGGAAGGAAACCGCAAGAGTTAGGATGGCTCCTAGAGTGAGAGAACAGAGAAGATGAGGACAGGAGGAACCTCAGTTATCTGAGGGTGGATGCCTTGTCCATTTTGGCTTTTGTTTCCAGATGAGCAAAGCCCAGTGTGGACTCCTGAGGAGAAAGTTTGTCTTCAGCATCCCCCAGGTCTAAGAGCTATGACACATTTGTTTACAACTCTAAGTGAAAGGAGGTGGGTAGTGACTTGGGGTCATTTATTGAAATTCAAACTGCCTCGTTTTAAACCTAATGATACACCAGCCAACTAGGCCTAACTGATCTTCTGTGTGAAGTAGCTATAGATTTAAACATTTAAGAACAGGACAAAAGTGGGTCCCCACATCCACCACCATCAGACCTCCCGTTGGCATCCAGTCCTCTGGTTTTACACAGAGATGCTCTGAGAAAGCATCAATTTAGCAGAATCACATTTAATCTTTAAATGTTCCTAAATGTGTTTATTTTTTTAAAAACAGAAGTATTGTATGATTTTATCTAAAAAAGAGAATACTTTAAAAAGAGAATTTGAGACTATTAAAAAAAAATTCAACTCAGCTCTCAGGAAGTGAAGTGAAGTCGCCCAGTCGTGTCTGACTCTTTGAGACCCCATGCACTGTAGCCTACAAGGCTCCTCTGTCCATGGAATTTTCCAGGCAAGAGTATTGGAGTGGGTTGCCATTTCCTTCTCCAGGGGATCTTCCCAGCCCAGGGAATGAACCTGGGTCTCCTGCATTGCAGGCAAACGCTTTACCATCTCAGCCACCAGAGAAGCCTTCAAGTGACCTCTAATTCCATTTTTCTAAGATCTTAAACTATGTCTGTGCATGTGTGTGTATGTAAAGGTTATAGGGAATATAAATGTATATATGAGTATAATATACTCATATGTACCTATGCCTTTAAATATCTACATACATACACACGTCATATAATTGTAATAAACTTCTAAATACAAACCAGTTTAAAATATTTAAATATGGTCAAGCATGTAGATTGAGTTTAGCTTGTTCTTATTTTTGAAACTGGCAGAGCTTCAAAATCTTGAAGTTGAAAATAATTATTTTTGTTGCAGTTGTGGAACATATGCAATTAGCATGGTTTTAGGGACATACGTGATGGTGAGAACAATTGAAGTCATTAAACTTCAGTGAATTTATTAAAGTGTTTACATATCAGGGTGATTTTGTTTTGAACTGAATTCAGGTATCTCTCTAGAGATGGCATCAGTAATCCATCTGAATTTTCCATTACTGCTAACACTGAAAAAAAGTAAGAAAAAGGTAATTAAAATTATAATTAAACCAACACTGAGAAATAACTTGAGACAGAAGAAGTTTATAAGTTCTGCAAAAGTTTCCTTTTTAGAGATGCTTTCAGATTTTTCAAAAGATAAAGTAATGTTGGTTGGATATTGAGTATTTCTTCATGATGATCAAGTATTCCCTGTTTACTTCCTTTAGACATTTCTACTGTCATCAAATTGGACAAGTAAGTTTGAATTTTTTCTAGACTTCCACATTATATCAAATTTAAAATGCTGTAGAGCAGGATTAGAAGTGAAATTCTTTTTATGGAGCAAAATATTAATATTGCAAGTTATACATATATATATACACATATATATATATATATTTCTGTATTCATGAATACATGGGAAATAAAGTATTAGCATTTAATTCAGTTCAGTTCAGTCACTCAGTCATGTCCGACTCTTTGTGACCCCATGGACTGCAGCACGCTAGCATTCCCTGTCCATCACCAACTCCCAGAGCTTGCTCAAATTCATGTCCATCAAGCTGGTGATGCCATCCAGCGTCTCATCCTCTATCATCGCCTTTTCCTCCTGCCTTCAATCTTTCACAGCATCAGGGTCTTTTCAAGTGAGTCAGTTCTTTGCATCAGGTAGCCAAAGTACTGGNGCCAAGGAATGTTCAAACTACCACACATTTGCACTCATCTCACAAGCTAGCAAAGCAATGCTCAAAGTTTTCCAGGCTAGGCTTCAACAGTATGTGAACTGAGAATTCCAGATATTCAATCTGGATTTAGAAAAGGTAGAGAAACCAGAAATCAAATTGCCAACATCCATTGGATCATACAAAAAGCAAGAGAATTCCAGAAAAACATCTGCTTTATTGACTACGCCAAAGCTTTTGACTATGTGCATCACAATATACTGTAGAAAATTCATAAAGATACGGGAATACCAGAGAAATCTTACCTGCCTCCTAAGAAATCTGTATGCAGATCAAGAAGCAACAGTTAGAACCAGACATGAAACAAAGGACTGGTTCCAAATTGGGAAAGGAATACAAGGCCGTATATTGTCACCCTGCTTATTTAACTTATGCAGAGTATATCATGTGAAATGCCAGGCTGGATGAAGCACAAGCTGGAATCAAGATTGCTGGGAGAAATATCAATAACTTCAGATATGTAGAAAGTGAAGAGGAACTAAACAGTTTCTTGATGAAAGTGAAAGAGGGGAGTGAAAATAGCTAGCTTAAAACTCAACATTTAGTTAACAGTAGTTAGTCTTAGGATAGAGTTTTGTGGGAGGTGATGGAAAGCTTACCAATTTCATGTTCTATGATTTAGTTCTATGAATTTTTTGACCACATACTTTATTCTTTCTATTTGAAACAAGGACTCTAGGCCCTTTTTTATTTTCATCTTTACAAGATTTCATTTAAGATAGAAAAGAATGGGTTATAGTACTGTTCACAAAGATTCCTCTTTAAAAAAATTTAAGTCCTTTCCTAATTCTTTTGACTTACAGTCATGTCTCCCTTAATCTCATTGTAACAGGGAGTTATATTTAGAGAATTTGAAACCTCTTGCTCGGTGGACTATGAAAATGATTTGGGAAGGGGAACTTTGAAAAGACAGAGTGTTGACTGACCTAGGAAGGTAGAATGAAGGGATGAAGAGAAAAAAAATGCTTCTGGAGTAATGTGAAATGTTCTTCCTCCCCACAACACTAGAAATGCTAAAGATGTGTGACAGGTAAATTGATGTTTCTGAGATAGATGAGGGTTGAAGGTACAGTTTTCTTAGGTGGTTGCAATAGCATTCTCTAGTGGAAGCTAGAGAGATGGACAGGGAAAGCAAGACGTTTAGCAAAGGTCCCTCCAAAGACAGGAAATTCAGACACTTTTAAAAAAGGAAAGTGTCTGGTTAAGCATGGTGTAGTAAATACTGGGGTCTCTACTGTTTCTCAAGATAGCAATAAAATGCTAGCAAATGGAGGGCGGAAAAGTAGAAATCCTTCAAAATGAGGAGATAAGATCAGACAGGAGGTGGAAACTAATTTTTGGATGCCAGAAAGTGAATGAAAGTTTGCAGAGGAGGAAGCTGACTGCAAGGACTCCTATAGGAGATGAGTCTGTTTTTGACTCAGAATCCCAAAAGGTCTCAATAATCAGAGGCACCATTTAACACTGACATCCCATGTGAGGTATGGGATGGAAAACAGGGGGTTGCTTGTCTGTCTGGATAAAGAGAGCATGATATCCTGCTGATCTGGGCAACTGTAGGAGCCTGGGGAACACTGCATCATACCAGAACCCGGGCCTCATGCCCAGAAATCCTGATTTAGGTTAGTCTGGATGGCACCCAGGTATGTAGATTTTGAAAAATCTCTTAAGATGAATCTGACATGCAGCCAGGAGTGAACACCGCGACTCACATACAAATTGACCATTGTTCCAGAAGGAAACAGGCTGTATTTTTGTGACTTTACCCCCAGGTTTCCCATCTAATAGGAATGAGCTAGAATGAGAAGTGGTTCATTCTCTCTGGGGTTTCTTTCCTTTGACCATCCAGCCTCAAATCCTGCCTGTTGGAGGCAGTATGACTTACTCTTAGTTCATTGTGATACTGCGTCTCTAAGTAGTACAATCAGAACCCCAGCAGGAGAAAACTTTGTAGGTCAGAAATTGTTTATAGACTAAGAAGAAAAAAAAAAAGCATCATCTTCATGCACCACTGAATTACCATCTTGAATATATCTTTTCTCTTGTTTACACATGCCTCTGTGCTCCTTGGGAAAAACAAAAGAAACAACGCCGGTGGTCAAGGAATCTGATGCCCTTTGGTGCTGTTTTTCTCTCCCAGATCACTGCCTTTAAAATTGAGAATGCAGGGTTTTCATGAGTCTTCATGTCATTATGTTTTCAAACCAGGAGAGCAATTTTGATATGAAACAATATTGCTCTGAAAATAGAGCGCTGTCCCTCAGAATGAAGGCAAATGAGAATTTAGAACCCTTGCAGGTTGTACTGTCAATACTAATTTGAGTGCTAAAGTTCCATTTGCAAACCTAAGTAAACAGGAATGTAGACAGTTTCAACAAGCTGAAATTGTGATATCGCCCAAAGGAACATGCTGATCAGGGAGAGCTCAGCATGCATTTGAATCAGAAGCATCTGCAGCAACTTTAACTCTGCTTCCTGCCATCAGGGCTGGACGGACACAAAGGAGGTTGAACCCAGAACACCTGGGGTGGAGGGCAGAGCGCCATACACTAGGCGTTCTGACAGCTTCTCCAGATTTTTGTAGCATGTAGGGGCCGATGCTAGACAGTGACTGCATCCGATTCTGGTGCAGCTGTCCATCATAGTGGCACTGGCAAAATCCAGTTCCTGAACTCATCAACAGCAACAAATATTTATTGCACGTTTCGTGAGCAGGTTGGTAGCAAGACTGAATTTGCACTAAACTTCACCATAAAAGGCTGTTCAATGTAGACAATAAACATAAAGGTTGGATGCCTGAGACAAGTGGTTGGGGCTGGTGCACTGGGAAGACCCAGAGGGATGGGGTAGGGAGAGAGGTGGGATGGGGGATCGGGATGGGGAATACATGTAAATCCATGGCTGATTCATGTCAATGTATGGCAAAAACCACTACAATATTGTAAAGTAATTAGCCTCCAACCAATAAAAATAAATGGAAAAAAAATAAAATAAACATAGAGGCACACAACAGAATTCTTTGCAAGAGAAATAGCAAATAGCTGCTAATATAATAATAATAATAAAAGCCTCAGAGTCACAGGGGTCTTCTGTGTTTGAAGGAAAATTTATTGAGGGCACTAAAAGGAAGATTTCCTCTTGATAGGAGGATTTTGGCTCTATGTAAATCCA